ATTTTATAATTATAAGTTGAATATTTATGTTTTATAATTTGTATATTCAATATTTATATTTATATATTTACTTTATACTATTACTTTAAAATTTAATGTTTATGATTTATTAGTAATTGGTATAATTTTATTTTTTTTAATATGAATTTACAAATTGTAACAAAACGGGGAAAAAAGGCAAATTGGACTTTGGATGTGAATAATGCGTACTTTATATTATTATTACTTGAGTTGAGAAAATTGTACAATGATAACAATGATAAAAATCATACAATGATGGTATTAAACAAAAATTGGAAAATGATAAAATTGATATTTTTAAAATCGTACAATATACAATAATTGTCTATTCTTCTTCTCCTTCTTCTTGCTCGTCTTCGTCTTCGTCTTCGTCTTCGCCTTCGCCTTCAAGGTCATCGGCTAGTTGCATAGATTGGGAACTAGCCGAACCCGAACCGGAAGCGGAGGTTCCTTCTTCGTTGTCGTTGTGGTCGTAAGAACGGTCTTGTGAGCGATTTTCCGCATCCAACCAATCTTTGAAACACACGCACATTTCTAGTGTTTCGGGTTTTAGACTTGTTCTTCTATCGTCTAAAACCCTTCCGGATGCGCTGAAAGCTCGTTCGGAGGCGACGGAGGAAACTTGGATAGCAAGAATGTCTCGTGCCTAGGGGTGAAAGTTCGGTTTTCGGTTTGGTTTATAGGCCAAACCGAAACCGAACCACACTAATTCGGTTTTTGGTTTTTGGAAACCAAACCGCACCACTTTACTTTTGAAACCAAACCAAACCAAACCATACAAATTTCGGTTTCAAAAGAGAAAACCGAACCAAACCGAATTTTTTTGGGCCTTGTTTATTTGGGATTTAATCTGCAATTTTTGTTCGGTTTTTGGTTTTTGGAAACCAAACCGCACCACTTTACTTTTGAAACCAAACCAAACCAAACCAAACCATACAAATTTCGGTTTCAAAAGAGAAAACCGAACCAAACCGAATTTTTTTGGGCCTTGTTTATTTGGGATTTAATCTGCAATTTTTGTGGGCTTAAATCATATAAATATTATATTCAACAACATATGTAGTAGCATAAATGCTTAATGAGATTTAAACAACATTAACAAGTTCTAAAACTTCAAAGTTATAATTCAAAGTTATAAAAGCTCAACACCTCATCCCAAAAAAAAATAAAATTGTTCAACATTACAACTTTAACAATTGTTTAACAGCAGTAGCAACAAGCAGCAGGGCAGCAGCAACATCATTACAGCAGGTCAGCACTCAGCAGCATAGAACCCTACAACTGCAAAGAAATTGTCATTCCATCCATATATCCTCAATTTCACAAGTCAGTTTTTCAGCTTACTCAAATTTGTGACATAGACATGAAAAAATGCAATCAGAAGTCAAAACCCATTGTTCAGAAGAAAAAACACAACAAGAAGAAACAACTAAGTATAAACAGCAAAAAAAAACACAAATTCGCACAAAAACCACTTCAACCCAACAAATTATAGCTCAAATTAAGCTACCCCAGAAGCAAAATCAATATATTACAATAATCTCATAATAATTAATGTGGGAGTACCATATATTTACCAATAAACAAAAACTTCCATTTCCTATTCTTCTTACACGAGAATGACACTTATCATTATCAACTCTTCAAGTTGAACTAAAAGTACTAATTCATACTAAATTACCCCAAAATAAAATAAAAATTAAAAAAAAAACCCACATGAAACTAAGGGGGCGTTTGGTATCAACTTTGTAAAGGTAACGGAATGGAAACAAATTAGGAGGGGAAAGGGTAATGTATAGTGTTACCCTTACTAGTTGTTTGGTATTACTAAGAAAACGTAAACGATTAACAACCAATTAATTTCCTTTTGTTTGGTATAAAAAAAGGAAAACAATTTTTCTTTTTTAAAACAAAAAAGGGAAAACAAAATTTAAAATATTGGTGGGCGACAATTATCACAATTCAGAAGCTGCTTTATTGCTTCAACTTGTTCGAAATTCTTCTCTCTTTTTTCTTACTCTAATTTAATTACTCTAATTCAATAACCAAATTGATCACATCATCAAAAAATCAGATGACTAGATCCTTTTTTCTTTTATTGATCATAAAAAGACAACTACACCAGATTAAAACCAGCAGACCATCAAAAATCAAAATTATCAACATCAAATCAGATCATCGCAAAGGCAGATCAATCTTCATCATCGATCATCACGAAAGCACATTCGTTTTTTCTTTTTTTTTTTTAATTTTTGGTGGGTGAGATGTGAAAATGATGAGTTGTTGTTGAGCAATTTTATTTGACCCAATTTGACGTGTCTTGAATAATGAAGCAAAATCTTGAACAATGACATGCTGAGAAATTGAATTCAGAAGAGAGAGATTGGGTGAGTAAGAACCATAAATTACTAGGCTCTAAAACACACACTAGTTAAAAACATATCCTCGAAATAAATTACCAAAATTAAAAGTTACAGAGAAGAATTTACATAATACAACTATACAAGTACACAACCATTGCATTGCATAAAAATTGGAATCAAAATCATGAATACAAGAAAAACATCCAAGTAAACCAAACCAAAAAAAACAAAAAAACAAACGAACACTCACCAATCTGAACGGTGAAGTGGTGAAGTGGTGAACGGCAACGGTGGAGAGTGAAACTGAAAAGGTGAGCTATCTGGATTCGCAATGAAACTGAGAAATTCGCAAGAGGATTAGAGGAGAGGAAGTCAGGAGACTAGGAGAGACCGAGAGAGAATGAGGGATTGAGGGTTAGGGACTTAGGGTTTTTTTTTTCTGATTTTATACTTAGGGTAAATTTGGGCTGGGCCAAGGGTTTTTTTTATGTTGGGCCAAAATTTCGGTTTTCGGTTTTTTTCGGTTTTTTATTTCCTCAAACCGAAACCAAACCGAAAACCGAATTATTTTTTTTTTAAAAACCGAACCGAACCATTTCCGAAAAAAAACCGAACCATATTTCTTATTCGGTTCGGTTTTCGGTTTGGTTCGGTTTTAACCCGAATTTGTTTCACCCCTACTGGCGCCTGGCCAGGACGCCGCCACCGTGGCCATGGCGTCTGGCCAAGACGCCGCCGCCACGGTGGCGGCGTCCTGGCCAGGCGCCACCGCCACGGTGGCGGCGTCCTGGCTAGACGCCACCGCCACGGTGGCGGCGTCCTGGCTAGGCGCCACCACTATTTTTTTTTTTTTTTTTTTTAATTTAATTTAAAATTTGTTTATTTTTTTTTTTTTGTGTTACAATTTTTTTCTTTTTTTTTTGGTTTTTTTTTTGTTTTGTTTTTAATTGTTTTAATTTGTTTTTGTTTTTAATTTATTTATTTTTTATTTTTTTTTTTACAATTTTTTTCGTTTTATGTTTTTTTTTTGTTTTTATTTTTTTGGTTTATTTTTATTTATTTAATCTAAAGTTTTGTTTATGTTTTTTATTTTTGTGTTTTGTTTTTTTTTTTTTTTTTGAATACTTTTTGTTTATTTCTTTGTTTGTTGTTTATAATTTATTATTGTTTTTGCTTTTGTGCTAATGTTGTGTCAAATGTATTAATTTAATCTACTCTTATGTGATTATATTTATATGTTATTGTTGCAGGATTATGGTGGAGACGGAAATGATTATAGTGGGATTTTTGTACACGATGGTCTGTTCGAAGATGCTCAACAAGCGGTTGATTGGGCGAAACAGGTTGCAATTAGATCAGGTTTTTGTTTAGTAGTAGCAACTCATAAATCTCAACGGGATGGTAGAATGGATCGCATTTTGAGATGCGACCGTTATCGCAAAAGGGAGGAACGAGATTTCAGTCAAGCGATTCGGTTTGATACAAAGCGGAAAGGTTGTGGGTGTCAGTTCAGAGTAAAGGTTCGACAACAGCAAAGGGGTGACGGTTGGGAAGTGAAGAGTTACGGTAAATGGGGGTATCACAACCATGAGATGATCGCATATGAAGTGGGTCATCGACAGTTAAGTGGCCTAAGTCCTGCTGCGAAACTAATTGTAAAAGAAATGAGTGATGCTCAAGTGAAGCCTGCTAAAATATTAGCATCTGTGTTGGAGAAATTTCCTGAAGACCAGCCAAACCGAAGACACATCTACAACGTCAGACATAAATTGAGGTTTGAACGGTCAGAGGGAAGGAACCCTATACAGCAGCTTCTACACCAGGCACAAGCACGTGGTTACCTGTACTGGTTTGAATCTGATGAAGACACATCGGAGGTGACTCATTTGTTCCTTGTGCATCCTGATTGTGCTGATATGATTTCGTCTTGGCCATCTGTGATTCTGATCGATTCAACGTACAAGACAAACAAGTATAAGTTTCCACTGGTTGAGATGGTTGGGATGACTCCAACGAACCAGAACTTTTTGATTGGTTATGCAGTTATGAAGGATGAGACGGTTGCGAGTTACCGTTGGGTGTTGGAGAAGTTGAGAAATTACATCGGCCCAAGTGTTCAGCCATCGGCCATCGTCAGCGATTGTGAGGGAGGTCTCTTTGCCCCTATAGCGGAGCTGTTTCCGGAGTCGAGCCATTTACTGTGCACATGGCACATCAACAAATGCGTGAAAGTCAAAGCCTACAACCTTTTCAACAAGAACTTAGATTCAGCAGAGAGATTGGTAAATGGTAAGTGGCGGAAGATCCTGCAAGCTACCACGGAGGCAGAGTACGACCGAGCCTTGGATAACTTCAAGGATGCATACCAATGGTGCCCGGCAATCGTAGACTATGTGATGCAGCAGTGGGTGCCTCAGAGGGAAAAGTTTGTCAAATATTGGACAAACCAAGTTCTTCATTTTGGAAACACTACTACATGTAGAGTTGAGAGCGCTCATAGAGCTCTGAAGGACTGGATTGATTCTTCCACCTCTGCTCTGGATACACTGTTCGAGAGAATAAACAAGGCTATTGATACTCAGAGGAACGGCATCAAGAACTCTCTCGAGGACTCCAGCCACCCTTCAGTCATTCGTAGTGCTACCCACGTACTTCATGACATGTTCAACTCGTCGTGCTTGGATCATGAGGAACCTGAGGGGGTCGAGCGACCACGGGGCCGACAACCACGGCGGGAAAGGAGTGCGTTTGAGTACATTCGTGGTCGTGGTCGTGGTCGTGGCCGTGGTCGTACATCGTCATCAAGTGGTAGTCAAACATCTTCGTCGGTGAATATGCCCGGCACCGGTACGGTACTTTAGTTTAATTTACTTTTTAGAGTGTTTGTTTAGTTTTCTGCTAACTTGTTAATTGTGTTTTTTGATGTGTGCAACAGGCAGAATGGACATTGAACATTTTCCATATAAAGACAGGATCCCTAACATCATGATGCCGTTCCTGGACGGGTGGAATGATGTGGTTGCAGATGGTAACTGTGGATTTCGGGTTGTGGCTGATGTGTTTCAGATGGGTGAAGACAACTACGGTTTAGTGCGTCAGTTGATGTACAGTGAAATCGCCTCAAACCGAGCTGTTTATCGCCACGTGTACGGACAGGACTTGGATAGGTCTCTGCAGCGTATCCGGTGGGGAGGAGGACGTTGCGGTCAAAATCATTGGTTCGACGCGCCCCTTGATCTCTTCGCCGTTGCAAACATCTACAAGTGTGCAGTGATGCATTTCGGCCTTGGTTTGCATGGTCGAGCTTACTATCCGTGTACCACGGTTCTGCCTTGGTGTTCGCGTGAGACCGTCACCAGACCGGTAAGAGAGGTTGCTATTGGATTTCTGGGGCCGTCATACAGACATTTCATCCGACTGGACCTGTCACCCGATTTTCCGGTCCCACCGATTATACCAACGTGGTACACCATTCGTACAGCAAGCGTAGAGGGCTGGGATGCGTTATATCATGACCGGGTGCAGCAGTGGAACAATCTAGTTGCCTTTTCTATGTGACCTAATATTGCTATTGCTATGTTTTTCCCATTTATTTAATTTTCGGATTCTAATTTTCGTATTTAGTTTTCCCATTTAAATGTGAACCTGTATTTAGTTTTCGTATGCCCACTAATTACAACTTAAAATAAAAGTTATAAAAACTAAAAATATAATGTCAAATTCTAAGAACTTAAAATAATAATTATAAGAACAGATAATGTTAACTTTTACAAACAACTAGGAAAATGTTTTATAAATGCACTGCCGACATATCAATAATCTCTCTGTGACGCCCACTGCCACTGCTCAAGGGCCCGTTCCAGTTCATCAATAACAGCTCTGCCTGTTGCAGTCGTCATGTTGTCCCTCTCCTCAAAAAGTCTGTGTCCCAACTGCGTCATCTTTCCCATCCACTACACATAACAAAACACATAAAATTCAATAACGACGTATTATGAGACGTATTATATGAAAAAAAACACAACTACAAATGTTTTATGAGACGTACCGCATCCACGGCAGTGACGCAGATGATGTGCCAGATCTACTAACAAATCTACCATCTCTACCCTTACGCACGTCTACCCTACGCGTCTCATACACATCATCAAGCCTCTGACTGAATGGACCGTAATCATCATATGGTCCACTCTGATCGTCCACATCCTCATCTGCATCCTCCTCCTCCTCCTCCTCATCACCATCATCATCTTCATCATCCTCAGAATAGTGCACCCGTTCTCTACGAGCCGAGGCCGAAATACCACGGGATCTAACGTGTCTGGGCCCCGAGCTCTCCATTGAGTTCATCGTACTTCTCATAATGTCCATACTCTTCCCAGCCCCAGAACGAAAATACGATGCCTAACACAAAATAACAAAACATGTAATATGCAATATAAACATGTAATATAAACATAAAAAAAGTAATTAAAATAAATAAATAAAACAATATACATATGATGGAAAATAAATTAAAAACATTACAAAATATTAACAACCTAAAAATAAAAAAATTAATAACCTAATAAATAAATAAATAAAAAATTGGAAAAAACAAAGCAAAAAAAAAAATTACCCAAAAAAAACAAATTGGAAAAAACAAAGTGAAAAATATAAAATTATAAAAACTTAAAAAAAGAAGAACATCAAAATTTTAAAAAAAATTTATAACAAAAAAAAGGGAACATAAAATTTTTTTTAAGTAAAAAAACTAATTCAAAAAAAAAAAAAACAAGAACAATAAACAAGAACATAAAATTAAAAATTAAAAAAAAAAAAAGAGGAACATAAAATTTTTTTAAAAAAAACCAACAAAATTTAAAACAAAATAAAAAAAAAATCAGAAACATAAAATTTAAAATTAAAAAAAAGAAAAACAAATTTAAAAAAAAATCAAAAAAAAAATAATTATTTTCGAAAATTAAATTTCAAATTTAAAACCAAAAAAAATTAAAAAAAAAAATAAAAAGGCGGCGGCGCCTAGGCCAGACGCCGTGACGGTGGCGGCGGCGTCTAGCCCAGACGCCACTACCACGGCGGCAGCGCCTAGGCCAGACGCCGGTGCCGTGGTTCTGGCGCCTGGGCCAGACGCCATCGCCACCGTCACGGCGTCTGGCCTAGGCGCCGCTGCCGTGGTAGTGGCGTCTGGGCTAGACGCCGCCGCCGTGGTGGTGGCGTCTGGCCTAGGCGCCACCACCGCCTCCGACCTTTTTTTTTTAATTTTTAAACACAAAATTAATAAAAAATACCTTCTCGCCGGAAAACCGCTGTCCACCCGCCGCCTGTGCCGCCACTTCCTTGCCGGGCCGCCTCGACATCGCTCGGAAAGTTTTTTAGAGAGAGAAAGTGGAAGTAGAGAATTGAGAGAAGAAATTGTGTTTTTTACTTTGAGGGCAAAAGTGACAATTCACTCTAATTTTGTGGGCTTTATGTGGAGATTCGCGGGCGATGTTTAGCAATTGAGAAAATGAAAAACATATCTCAATTTCATTTATTTCCTTAAACATAGAAAGCAAAGATAAGATCATGATCAAGAATTACTAGGATAATATCATGTAAAATGTAAAATGAAGATGATCTTTACAGATTCATTAGGATATATTACCGTATATGAGTATAGGGCAATAATTTTTTCTTGTCAATAAATACTTGTTTTTGAGACCCCTCTTCCTCACTCACAATACAATCCACCAAACAGAGTTCAGAGTAAAAAATTTGAAAGCCACCATGGAAGCAAAAAATTGTCAAGCCTCCCTCCCAGCCAATTTGGGTTTCTTGGGGTCAGCAGTATCGCCCCCGAAGAAACGCACATTGGACAAGGGGAAGACAATTGCTTATGAGGCAATCGAGAGAAATGGCTTTAAGCCAGACCTGAACTCCTCTGAAATACCAACCCTTTCCTTGGCCATAGCATCAGAAATTTATCGTCTGGTGAAAGCCATGTTTGAGCAATTATTCCCTGAAGGTGATGCCAAACCAGAGATACCACAGAAAAAGCAAGAGTCAGGGCTACCTTTCAAATCATTTTCATACCCCAACAAAGGTGAAAAAGGAGCATCATCCAAACACCTCTCTCGTTTTGTTTGGCCTCCTGCCCCTCCACCTCCACCTCCAACTCAAAATCCCATAACCTGCAAGTTCTGTTACCTGGAATTCCGGACTACACAGGCGCTTGGTGGCCACCAAAGAGCACACAAGCAAGAGAGGGAGATACAGCGAGCAATGAAAGAAGCACAGGGAAATGCCGAAAATCCATTCCCTTATCATAGTTATGAACGTCCATGGGTACCTCTGTCTCAGGGTCCCTACAATGGAAAACAATTCCAGTATCCTACTTACCATGGAAATGACCACAGTGGATGGCAGCCAAGGCCAGTTTACTGTAACCCTGAAATGGATCTTAACCAGGCTCCATCCGAATTTCCTCAAACCCTAGATGGGTTCATGAGGCCATCCTCAATGATGCAGGCTGTTTACTGTAACCCTGAAATGGATCTTAACCAGGCTCCATCCGAATTTTCTCAAGCCCTACATGGGTTCATGAGGCCATCCTCTATGACGCAGGCTGTTGATCCTGCATACAACCCTGGGTGGCCAAGGCCTTGTGTCAATGCTCAAAATCCCATACTAAGCCCCAGAGTGGCCACATCCTTTGATCCTTCTGCTGCTCCAAACATAACTTTTTCGCAGGCAAGGCAGAATGAAGAGGGCCTTGCAAAGAAACAGTGTGTGGAATCAACATGGCTTACCTTGTCCTTTGAGAACAAGCAAAACAAAACATCAGAACTTGATCTCACCCTAAAGCTCTAATGGATATTAATTTCAGGCAAATACCCTATGTTGAGGCATACCAATTTTCCTGTAGGTGATATTGTGTCAGTTAAACTTTAGTTTGCTAAGATGTATGCCAAATTATCTTAAATTTAAATACATGTAGCCATGCGGCCCATTTAGTGTTATTACTTTGAGTCTATGGACATTAATTCAAGCCATTTCCCCCCTTTTTTTTATTGAACAAACATGTACTCAGTTGTATGTTCAGGCATACCAATCCACAGGCGATGTCTCAATTAAATTTTAGTTTGCTAAGATGTATGCCAAATCATCTTAAAATTAATACGTGTAGCCATGTGGCCATGCGGCCCATTAGTTTGCTAAGATGTATGCCAAATTATCTTAAAATTAATACATGTAGCCATGCGGCCCATTAGTTTGCTAAGATGTATGCCAAATTATCATAAAATTAATATGTGCGGCCATGCGGCCATGCAGCCCATTAGTTTGCTAAGATGTATGCCAAATTATCTTAAAATTAATACATATAGCCATGCGACCCATTAGTTTCCATTTCTTAGCTAAAGATTGATATCAAACTTATCAATCTACACGTCAGTGGATAAAAAATGATACACATGTGATATATAACACCCAAAATCAAATATTAACTTACAAGAAAAGATTATATTAATACTTCCTCCTTCCTTCGTTCTTTTTTTACTTCATTTATCATGTTTACCGATGCATAAATTTATCCTTCAATAAATTTATTTACGATAAATAAAAAATTAGAAATTGTGATAGTATTTATTGAGATGATTTTAACAAGAAAATATGTTTCTTACATATAACTCATAAAAGACGGTCAAATGAGCGTATATGAACAATGTAAAAGTCAAAGTAGATCAAATAAAAAAAAAAATAGAGGAAGTACTTAATAGTCCCCAATAATCCCCATTCACCAAATCAAGATATGAGATAGAGATAGATAATAAGGAAACAAACATAAAGGCGCCACGTCAATTATAACAATAATGCATCTTAAAGTCAAGTCAAAGGACATGCTATCCTAAAAAGAGATGGGTAATTAAAGACCGAGTCTTAGACGAAATCAAATTCATTATTAAATCATTTATTTTGACCGTAATTACCAAAGGAAACAATCACCTCCAACTTGATAGACTCTTGAATACTACACACACTAGCAAAAAGGTTGTAGCACGTCATGGTCCTATTGTATAGTTAAATGAGTACCAAACATCTCAGACGATGATGTCGAATTGCTGAACACTAGTATAGTAATATTAGAATCTTCTTCTAACTTAATCACCACAACTTTCCCTCAAAAATAAAAATAGATAGTTAGATAAATAAAATAAAAATCACCTTGACTTCAAAGACATGTGAACATCAGTACATTACACATACCAGCAAATGGTTCTAACTAGTCATGATCCTATAATATCAAATAAAGACTAGGGTTGTTCCAAACTAAATGTTCTTTTGACTTTGTTTCTAACATATTAGCCTTGAAATAACTACTAAGATCCTGATCTTATATGAGCAATGCTGTGTGAACCCTGTTAAGATAGGGTTCGAGGAGGTCTAGTTGTACATCGCCTCCCTCTAAGCACTTTAAACTATTTGAGAGATTAATCTAAGCAACCTACACAAAAATCTCCATTCATAACCACCCTGAACAAGAGATCCTTCTTTTCAATTGAATGTTCAGGCTATTTCTAAGCTGCATGAGGACATAAAATACTTTTTACCAAGGGGGTTTCAAAGTCTACCATTTTG